AGAGAGAGAGAGAGAGAGAGAGAGAGAGAGAGAGAGAGAATTAATGGCCTCTTCGGAGTAAGTGGCCATTAATTCTAGGAGATAATGGAAGGGTGGTTATTCCTTAAAAATAGCCCTCCAGTGTTGGATTGATGAAGTTCGCTGATTTATTGGTTGCCAAAGCTATGTTATGAATCAAAATCTTTCTAAAACTAAACCAAACCGTTGAAATTTGGCCAGTTCAATCTGTTTAATTAGTTTGCACCAAACTATGTTGACCCCTAAACCTAATGACGATTTGAATGATTTGAAGGGCTATTCCAAAAGATGAAAGATGTACAGGACTAACATGAGAAAAAGCTTATAGTATGATGCCATTGAGACTTCACAAAGGGCGATAAAGAGTAGTTTGTTTTTTTACTTGTCTCTACACGGACAATCTATTAGCTTTCCCCCAAAATCACCCCAAAATGGACAGATTTTTCTTTGGGGGCACCTCAACAATGTGTAATTCATGTCGTCAATTTTCCATGTTGTAACTGGTGCGACAAAATTAATTAGGTGAAAGGAGGAAAGTTTGCTGTGGGGCAAACTTTTCATTACTTGCAATCACACATGTCAAATATCTAGCATCTCATAAAGAACAAAATCCCCAAAACTTAGGCTCCTAGTAACCCCCAAAAGTTTCCAACTGATCATCTCATCATTACCAAATCCTGAAACATCGAACCCTATCAAATGAAGATGTGAAGGAAAAAAAAAAGTGAGATTGTGTACATTATGAGGGGGAGAAAAGGGAAGAGGTTGATTTTACGGTAGCTAGATGTTTCAGTTGAAAATTTTGGCTAATGTTTAATGATGTCTCTCTGTGGTTCTTTCTGATATAGTAACTGTAGGATCTCCATTAACTGCCTCTAGAGTTTAATTTAGAAAATTTCCACAGATTATCTACGCTAACGACTAACGAGTTCAAAGTTACCCGTAACGGAATAACGGTTCGATCCGGTGAATCTTGCCGACCCGCACTTTCGGAATCGCGTGAATGAGGCTATATTTATGTTTAAACCCCCTCCACTGCCCAAAATTTTCCACAGTAACCCCAGCGTTAGATTATGTTTAACATGCATTAATAATAACTCTTTTCATCCTTTGCTGCCTGCCACCAGTAACAGAATGTCTAACTAATAGACTGGTGCCACGTGTCGAACTCCAATAAGCGGACCCCACAATGAGGCTCTTCACGACAAAGATCCCGACCTCTCCCCTTTTTTGGTTTTCCAGATCTCTTCTACTTC